GTCTTTAACCGTCTTACACGGTTGTTTGGTCTTCTGATGCTCTGATGAACGGATAAACTGTGTAAGGGCTGTGTGTTGCTGAAATGAGAGCAGTTCATCAGCACTCAAACGCGGCCTGCACATTCATCAGTGCTACTTATGTGTTAGAGCCAAACAGAATGTGCTGGTGGTGTTTGTCTTGGATCGTTGATCCAGTTTATTTATAGAGTCAAAAGGAATTGATGAAACGGATTGAGTTTGACTGAAAATTGATTGGATGATCCACATTTGAAGGCGTATTTAAACCTCTGTATAAAGTCCCATGTGAATTTGATTTTAAAAATAGCCTAAATCTGTCATTAAGAAAGTGTACCTTCATGTTTTAATGTCATTTACAGACACCTATGATGGAGGTGTCTCTGAATTAATTTTATTTTATTCTATTTATTATTGTATTTTGTTTTGGTTTTGTTTTATTGTGATGTTTTATTTAGTTCAGTTTTATTTCAGTTTATTAATTTTTTTTTATATTTTGCTTTAATATGTTATTTATTTATTTTTGAATTAAAGTTTTCCTTTATCAATTACTGTCATTTACACACATCTATAATATAAGTTTCCATGAGTTTATTTGATATTTATTTTATTTTGTTAATTTTACTTTGATGTATTTTATTTTGTTTTATTTCATATTCTATTTTTGTTGTGATATTTTTTTTGTTGTTGTTTTGTTTTTTTTATTATGTATTTTGTTGAATTTTTTGTTTTTGTTTGTTAAAATCACTCAGGACATCTTAGCAATCACTCTGTCATTATGATGATGATGATGATGATGATGATTTTTGCATGTGCAAGAACCACCAGGTGTCAATGAGATAGCCATAATGGCAAATAATGCAAATGCATGAACTGCGTTTAATATATGTAATTAGTCCCGTGACTTTTATTCAGTAAGGATGCCTTGAATTCATCAAAAGTGACAGAGACAAAATATTTCTATTTCAAGTAAATGCTGTTCTTTTGGACATTCTATTCATCAAAGAGAAAAAAATATCCACAGCACAGCTAATAACAGATAATAATCAGAAATGAGCAGCAAATCATCATATTAGAATGATTTCTGAAGGATCATGTGACACTGAAGACTGAAGTAATGATGCTGAAAATACAGCTTTGAAATCACAGGAATTCACAATTTATTCAAACAGAAGACAGTTATTTTAAATTGTAATTATATTTCACAATATTACTATTTTTACTGTATTTTTAACCAAATAAATGCAGCCTCTGGGAGCAGTAGAGAGTTTTCCTCTTACTGACCCCAAACTTTTGAATGCTAATATAGATTGACAAACTGATGTCTGTCAGTTGATGACAGACAGTGCGATGTTTAATGCCACAAAGTACTACAGTATTACACTTTTACTTACAGTTGTTTCTGCATATTAAACTGAGATTGAAATGATATTTAAAAAAAAAAAACACAGTTCACCTTAGGAAACGATAACCTATTTGCCTTCCAAAAGATGATGTTAACCAGTGATTTGTGTTATAATGGCAGGCGTGGCACTGAGCGATCTATCATTCTGACACAAAATGTATTTTTCAAGTTCAAGTCAAGTTCAGGTTGAGCTTTATTGTCATTCTGCTGCATGTGGGGACATACGAGGGAATTGCTAAGGCCCAGCAGGTTTAGTTTATTGATGAGCTGTTGTGGGATTATTTGTGTTGAATGCTGAGCTGAAGTCGATGAACAGCATTCTAACATTTTGACTGTAGAATAGAATATTCAATCAATGAAACGCAGTGTATGTTATGCTGCTGCTGCATTTCTGTTTCCTTTCCTGTTCTTTAGAGAGAGTTTTGTACTGCATGTTTGGAAGCTCTAAAACACTCATTTCCGATGTTAAAAATGACTTAAAATGTCACTGTACTTCAGTATTATAGATCAGATGGCATGATTGAGTTTATTTAAATGAAGCTGTTATTATGAAAGGCATTGTGCTCTTGTGTGCCTCAAATTTCCACAACAATAATACAGAAACATGGGTAATGTTGGGGATGAGTAATTCTATATCACAGTAACGGTTTATATGATCATCCACCATTGGCTATTTTTCATAGAAAAGTAATTAATGTATAAATAACCATGTGTTAATGCTTAGTTACACTACCACTTTGTTTTTGTTTTTGTGTTTCATTCTCAGCAAGGCTGCATTTATTTGTTAAAAAGTACAGTAAAAACAGTAATAATGTGAAATATTATTACTGTTTTAAATACCTGGCTTCTATTTGAATGCGTTTTAAAATGTAAATTATTCCTGCGATGTAAAGCTACATTTCCAGCATTATTACTCCAGTCTTCAGTGTCACATGATCCTTCAGAAATCATTCTAATATGCTGATTTGCTGCTCAAGAAACATTTTTGATTATTATTAATGTTGAACACACTTGTGCTTTCATATTTTGTGGAACACGTGATACATTATATATTTTTAGGATTCTTTAATGAATATAAAGTTCAAAATAACAGCATTTATTTGAAATATAAATCTTTTGTAACATTATAAATATCTTAACTGTTTTGATCAATATAATGCATAATTTCTGAATAAAAGTATTAATTTATTTAAAAAAATAATAATCTTGCTGACCCCAAAGTGTATGTATTATCCAGTTAATTACTACAATCAGATCAGACACATCCCACTTTATATTTTCATATCTCTCTTGTTTTCATGTTCAGTCTCACATTTAAATAATAAAAAGCAGTCCTACTCATTGATAGCAGTGCATTGATGCATGTACCGTGGTATCAACAATATAGTAAAAGTTTCTAATGCAACATATTGAAGTGACACATCCTCATTTTCATGCGTGTCAGATTAAATATGCCGTCCGCTGTGACCAAAGTCTGTCATCAGTCTGTCTGTCCATCTGTTGATTCAGTAAAGCTCACTTGCATTATTAATGTCTCCAGTCACATTAAGCAATTATTTTTCAGCAGTGCATTATAAACAGATTGTATCTGTTGGCCCTGATGAGAAACTCTTCATCTCTCCATTACAAAGGAGTCAAATGTCCTCCAGATCGGTAGCAGTGCCGTGATGTTAGCGCTCGCTCACACTCTTTATCTTAGTCAATCAGAAATTAATTCGCCCCGCTTGAGATTAAAGGATGATTAATAAGGCTTCTGATGCGTTTACACAGCCAGAGCCTTTTAAGACGACTTACAATTCGCTGATATGCAGTAGCGCTAATGAGATGTCAAACATCTGACAGACGCTCACACATGAGGGGTCAGATGTTAACATCGCCGCTTGCGCTTTCATGTTGGAAATTAATAATAAGAAACTTGTCCAATCTACTTCAGCTGATGACTTTTGACACTTGATATTGAAGCATTGGCTGGTGTTTCTCAAGTGTCGCCGCATGACAGTTTGATAATGTTGGACATTAGACCACCTAGCAGAACAGGTATTTACATTTACATTTACATTTAGTCATTTTGCCGACGCTTTTATCCAAAGCAACTTACAATTTGGGAATACATAAAGCGATTCTTCTTAAAGAGGCAAACAGACACAGGAAGTGCTTGAAATACTAAGTTTTAGGCATTGTTCAAATAAGTACAAGCTAGAAAAGGGAAGGAATAAATACAGAGAAAGAAAAAAATATATATTTTTTTTATTTTATTTATTTATTTTTTTTTAATGATGAAGTCAAGTAGCGTTTAAAGAGATGAGTTTTCAGCTGTCGCTTGAAAATTGTCAGGGATTCAGCATTCCGGATAGGGGTGGGAAGATGATTCCACCAGCCAGGAACGGTGAACGAGAATGTTCTGGAAAGTGATTTTGAGCCTCTCTGTGATGGTACCACGAGGCGTCGCTCACTAGCGGATCTCAGACTTCTGGAGGGGATGTAGATTCGTAGTAGTGAGTGGAAGTAGGCAGGTGCTGAGCCTGTGGCTGAGCACATAAGGTATAGTCACATGAGGTATAGTCAACGTGAAATAAAAAATAGATTTTATGTATTTATTTTAAATTATTTAATTTCTTAATACACGTTCCTGGTCATGTGAATGTTAATTAAAATAAATGTATTTATTTATTTTAAATATAGCCTTTCATCAAATGAATTAAATAGCTTTTCCTCAGAACATCATCTTTGACAGTAATAATGTTAATTAGCTATAATATAAATAATCTGCTTAAATTGTATTTTATGTTGTAGTATGTTGCTGTATTTATTTATTTGTTTGTTTTTCAAAAATACACACATAACCATAGAAAAATAAAAACTCAAAAAAAGCTTTTAATACAAAACAAAAAGTGTTTTTTAGAAGTCGCTATAGATTGCTTGCTTTATTTGCATCTTATGCATCTTGAGACTCCTACTCCTGTTGGGAAATGTTAGGGAAAAATTACAAATTTTACAGACCAGTGAGTGAACATGACTGCTACTCATATGATGTCATATTACGGATGTGAAATGATCTGGACATTCAATGCTTTGAATCTGTTCATCTCGATTTGATTGCAGATTGTCATTTTGCAGTGATTTGAGTTTCTCCGTTCTGTTCTTCCTCTCCATTTGCTCTTTCTCCTTTTCTTCAGCAGTGACACAGTTAGAGAAGTATATGAAGATTTCTTGTTCTCTCTCATAGTTCATTAGCAACGGCCTTTATTGAGCTAAGTGAATAGAGCGTCTTTAAAGCTCTCTAATATCCTCCTAATGTGGTCTCAGTGTGGCGGAGTTAAAGACCTGTGATTAAGTTTATCATCTGTAGTTTATGTGCTTCTTCGCTGCACGCTAAACATAGCTTTAGTTCTGTGTCAGGAATGACATTATTCTGTGTTTAACTGGCTGTGTTTATGGTTCATTTACAGGCTGTGGTTAAGAACAAACACGCTCATTTAAATATGATAATGAATGAAAATGAATAGATAGAGTATGGCTGTGATCTCATTGCACTAGTTTTCATTGGACAGTGGTTGATGTGAGTTTTCTCTGATTTCAGAGTCTTCCTGCGAGCCATCAATCAGTACGCCGCCGTGCTCAGCAAGAAGTTTCTTGATCAAACCAACTTTGAGCTGCAGGTGAGACTTCAACTTCAGCAAATCTGTTGGAACAAACAAGGAGATTTTGGTCCCCAACCACTGTCATTACATGCTAAATCCCCAGATGTTTAATGCAAGAAAAAATATCAGTGTGGATTGACATTAGGGCAAGTTGATGTATTCCTGGTGCATGTGCATTATATAAACCGCTGTATGGTCTTGGCCACCGTGCTGCAGCTCAGTTTCAGGGTCTTGGCAATCTTCTTATAGCCTACGCCATCTTTATGTAGAGCAACAATTCTTTTTTTCAGATCCTCAGAGAGTTCTTTGCCATGAGGTGCCATGTTGAACTTCCAGTGACCAGTATGAGAGAGTGAGAGCGATAGCACCACATTTAACACACCTGCTCCCCATTCACACCTGAGACCTTGTAACACTAATGAGTCACATGACACCGGGGAGAGAAAATGGCTAATTTGGCCAAATTTGGACATTTTCAGTTAGGAGTGTACTCACTTTTGTGGCCAGCGGTTTAGACATTAATGGCTGTGTGTTGAGTTATTTTGAGGGGACAGCAAATTTACACTGTTATACAAGCTGTACACTCATGACTTTACATTGTAGCAAAGTGTCATTTCTTAAAGATATAATAAAATATTTACAAAAATGTGAGGGGTGTACTCACTTCTGTGAGATACTGTATATATATGTATGTATATGTGTGTGTGTATATATAAATATTGTGTATATATAAATGTTGCAGTACTTATTTATTTTATAAACGCATGTTATTTATTTATTTTCATGTTTATTTATTTTAAATTTATTTTATTTTATTTTATTTGTATTTTTTTTTGTTTTGTTTTTTACATGTTTTCAATTGCCATAATTTTAGATAATAATGTTAACTGGCTGTAATGTTTATACTCTGTTTATATTGGGTTTTATATTGTAGTATATTGCAGTATTTTTTTAATTAATTTATTTTATACAATTCAGTTTCTTAATACATGTTTCCTGGTCATATGCTTGTTGTTTAAAATAAATTTAGTTAGTTACATGTAATGTAAATAATCATGATTATTGTAAAGTGTTTACTTCATCTATGCTTTCAGCATTTCATTTGTTGTCATTTAATTATATAGCTTTGTAAATATTGGAATAATACCAGCTAAATTGAGTCTAATTTTGTGTTCAATGCAAGAAAGAATATCAGATTGAACATTTTTATTTGAACTGTCCTTTTAATATCTGTATAATGCATTAAGACTAGAAGTGCTACCGGAAAGCACTGAAAACAAACGTATAGTCTTATTTATGAAAAGCATGTTTTTTAATCGTCACGTTCAGCGTTGAGTTAGAGGAAGTTCCAGCAGGGATCATTAAATTTCTCTACCAGAATAACTCATGACAGGCTAATAGGCTGCAATTTCCCAGCATCTGATTTGAATATTTGAAGCGGCTCTTCTCTGAGCTTTGTTCTCGTGTTGGTTGTTGCCGTTTGGTGGTTATTCTTATCCCGCTCCTTGTTTTACCCATGAACCCATCTGGTGATGCACGCTTTGGCTTTCAAGAGACAATTAATTAATTTGAAATAATTGTTGAGTGACATCAGCTCTTCTGTGCTTTAAATAGCAGTGTGTGCACAGACTGTTGCTCATACTTATTGTTCATACTTCACTCAAATCTTTCACACTAAGTATTAAGCTAGTCTTCATAACCCATCCCTCATTCTTTGTGTTATAAAAATGAGTGATTCCTCAAGTGACTTGAGTATTACTTTACTAAGTGATCTCTCCTTTTTTCTCTCAGCTGTGGAATAACTACTTCCACCTCGCTGTGGCATTCCTTACCCAGGAGTCTTTGCAGCTGGAGAACTTTTCGAGTGACAAACGGGCCAAGATCTTCCACAAGTAAGCATTGACATAACAGACACCTACCCACAATGCACTGCTGCATAATACTATCACATTAAAGGAATCGTTCATTCACCCTCAGGCCATCCAAGATGGAGATGAGTTTGTTTCTTCATCAGATTTGGAGAAATGTAGCATTCCATCACTTGCAGTGAATGGGTGCCGTCAGAATGAGAGTCCAAACAGCTGATAAAAACATCACAATAATCCACAAGTAATCCACACCACTCCAGTCCATCAGTTAACATATTGAGAAGCCAAAAGAAACAAATCCATCATTAAGACGTTTTTGAGAACATTTTCAGCAAATTGTCATGTTTGAGTGAACTGTTCCTTTAAGGAGGCAATAACACGAGAAGAGTCAGTAATACAAAGTTGTAAGAAATAATGAATGCATGTAAGTTTTATCTGGTGGGGCTGAGAAAGGTAGAGGAAATGTGTTTTCATTAAAGCATGCATTGCTGTTTAAAGCTTTCGAGAGCGAGAGACAGCAGGACTGAGTGATAGAGAGCAGTAAAGAGCCTGTTATCAGCTCCAGGAGCTTCTGTCTGTCTGCTGTCTGTGTTTGCCTGTGGCATGAGCTCATTCTCGTAGAAACGGATCACTGTCTGTCAGGAGTCTTCAGCCTCTGGAATCACACGGCCTCTCAAGCAGCTTCTTCTCAGGAACAGGAGCACACGTTTCCAAAACCAAAACATTTTCTCAGGACATGCGGTGCTGGTGTCAGTAATGGCACCTCTTTCTTGAAGGCGCTTTTGCTTTAAGATTGTGGGTGAATTTACAAGAATTGAATAACCAGCGATCTCAGCACCTCAGCATATGATAATTACATATACAATATTTTTTAGATAAATGGGACCAATACAGTATTAGATCAGATGATATCAGCCTGATAGCGGTCTTTTTTAATATATCCATTTATTGGGTATTGAATTATTATTATTGTTATTGCTTATTTCCCCATCATCTAGCACAAACTTAAAAAGAGAAATTGAAAGATGTAACCCTTAAAGAGTGTCTCTTAAAACAGTCTTGTCTATTAAAGGGTCGTGTCCATTTTTGGAAGGCCAAACAAAGTAGTTTCGCTTTCACAACGAAACACAGCGTCACACGCGGAGGCCTAGAGTGAGCAGAGGCCGGCTTGAATGAGCGGCGGCCGGTGGGCTTGAGAACGGTGTGGCGGGCGGGCTTGCGGCAACCACATGTGAC